CCCCCGCCGCCGCCACGCCCGCCGCCACAGTCACGGCCACGGTGGTGATGACCACGGCCACCATGGACCTGCGGGACTGGCTGTTTCTCTGCTACGGGCTGATCGCCTTCCTGACGGAGGTCATCGACAGCACCACCTGCCCCTCCGTGTGCCGCTGCGACAACGGCTTCATCTACTGCAACGACCGGGGACTCACCTCCATCCCCGCGGACATCCCCGACGACGCCACCACCCTCTACCTGCAGAACAACCAGATCAACAACGCCGGCATCCCCCAGGCCCTCAAGACCAAGGTGAGCGTGCAGGTCATCTACCTGTATGAGAACGACCTGGACGCGTTCCCCGTGAACCTGCCCCGCTCCCTGCGGGAGCTGCACCTGCAGGACAACAACGTGCGCACCATCGCCAGGGACTCGCTGGCCCGCATCCCGCTGCTGGAGAAGCTGCACCTGGACGACAACTCCGTGTCCACCGTCAGCATCGAGGAGGACGCCTTCGCCGACAGCAAGCAGCTCAAGCTGCTCTTCCTGAGCCGCAACCACCTGAGCAGCATCCCCTCGGGGCTGCCCCGCACGCTGGAGGAGCTGCGGCTGGACGACAACCGCATCTCCACCATCCCGCTGCACGCCTTCAGGGGCCTCCACAGCCTGCGGCGCCTGGTGCTGGACGGCAACCTGCTGGCCAACCAGCGCATCGCGGACGACACCTTCAGCCGCCTGCAGAACCTCACCGAGCTCTCGCTGGTGCGCAACTCGCTGGCCGCCCCGCCCCTCAACCTGCCCAGCGCCCACCTGCAGAGGCTCTACCTGCAGGACAACGCCATCAGCCACGTGCCCTACAACACGCTGGCCAAGATGCGCGAGCTGGAGCGCCTGGACCTGTCCAACAACAACCTCACCACGCTGCCCCGCGGCCTGTTCGACGACCTGGAGAACCTGGCCCAGCTGCTGCTCAGGAACAACCCCTGGTTCTGCGGCTGCAACCTCATGTGGCTGCGGGACTGGGTGAAGGCGCGGGCGGCCGTGGTCAACGTGCGCGGCCTCATGTGCCAGGGCCCCGAGAAGGTGCGGGGCATGGCCATCAAGGACATCACCAGCGAGATGGACGAGTGCTCCGAGGCGGGGTCGCAGGGCGGCATGTCCAACATCGCCCCCAAGACCACGGCCAGCAACCACGCCTCGGCCACCACGCCCCAGGGCTCCCTCTTCACCCTCAAGGCCAAGAGACCGGGGCTGCGCCTCCCCGACTCCAGCCTTGACTACCCCATGGCCACGGGTGAGGGCGCCAAGACCCTGGTCCTCCACGTGAAGGCCCTGACGGCGGACTCCATCCGCATCACGTGGAAGGCCACGCTCCCCGCCTCTTCCTTCCGGCTCAGCTGGCTGCGTCTGGGCCACAGCCCGGCCGTGGGCTCCATCACCGAGACCCTGGTGCAGGGGGACAAGACGGAGTACCTGCTGACCGCCCTGGAGCCCAAGTCCACCTACATCATCTGCATGGTCACCATGGAGACCGGCAACACCTACGTGGCCGACGAGACGCCGGTGTGCGCCAAGGCAGAGACCGCAGACAGCTACGGCCCCACCACCACGCTCAACCAGGAGCAGAACGCCGACCCCCTGGCCGGGCTGCCCCTGGCCGGCATCATCGGGGGCGCGGCCGCCCTCGTCTTCCTCTTCCTGGTCCTCGGAGCCGTCTGCTGGTACGTGCACCGAGCGGGGGAGCTGCTGAGCCGGGAGCGGGCTTACAACCGCGGCAGCCGGAAAAAAGACGACTACGTGCAGTCGGGGACCAAGAAGGACAACTCCATCTTGGAGATCCGCGGCCCGGGGCTGCAGATGCTGCCCGTCAACCCCTACCGCGCCAAAGAGGAGTACGTGGTGCACACCATCTTCCCGTCCAACGGCAGCAGCCTCTGCAAGGGCACGCACACCGTGGGCTACGGCACCACGCGGGGCTACCGCGACGCCGGCATCCCGGACGCGGACTACGCCTACACCTGACGCCGCCGCCCGCCGCCTGGCGAGCTGGGCCCGCCCCGCCGGCCGCCCCCACCGCCACGCGCACGCGAGCCACCGGGACTCTCCCAGCAGAGGCACGTGCGGGAGGGCGGATGACTTGGTAGAACACAAGGAAAACCTTTTTTTTTAACCGGAGGGAAGCAGGAGGGAGACCTGACGTCGCCAGCCGGGAGGGGAGCACTGCAGGTCAAGAGCCGGGGCTGGGTGGGCTCTCACCCGGCTGGCAGGGCTACCCGCGCAGGGCCGGAGAGGGCCGCCCCAGAGACGCCGCCGGCCGCCTGCTCGCTGGGCCCGGCGCCATCGGCCGCCAGGCCCGCCGGGGACAGGTTCCAGGCGCCTCAGCAGGGAAGGCGCGAGCCGAGAGCTTTGCCGTGGAGATGTTGCCCTGAAACCTCTTCCCTGGTTCTCTCTGTACGTCTCCCTTCCAGATGGGCAGAAATAGCGCCTTTCACTGCATTCTTTGAACAATTCTGTAGTCGATTAAAAACCAACCTTCTTTTTCGTACACTGAGGCCCTCTTCGGTCCCGTGCACCACAGTCCGCGGACCCTCGGAAGCGGCGGCTTCCGCAGCACGCAGGGGGCGCTTTCCCACCTGCCTCTGTCGGTGGCTAACTCAGTGGCAGACAGCACCACACAGGGCTGGCAGGGCTGCCTGGGTCACGTCCTGCGATTTCCCGAGACAGTAGTCAAGGCGAGGTTGCTTCCTCCCAGAAATCTCGAGTAAGTAGACAAAGCGTGGGGGCCAGGGAGTCGGGCGGGACAGTGCTGTTTGCAAAGGCGGAGGTGTGTCTGTCCGCCGGTAGCTAGGAAGGCCGTAGCCTTCAGTTCGATCCTATCTCAGGTTGGCCAGAGCTGGGGGCGCCTTTCTGATACTAGAGAAGCTTTCTTCCACGGCCAGTGTCCTTATCTCTCTCCCCCACCCCACACACGTGCAAACAGCCCGACAGCTACCTTCTGAGCACTTAACTCTTTGCTATGTGCTTCCTCACGGGACAGGTAATTGGCACAGGGACAGGTTGTTGCTTCCTCTCCCTCCCACCAACTGATCAGACCGAATGGTTTCCATGGCTGCTCAAACAAAGCCCAGAAAAAGCCATGTAAATTCTCAGAAAAGCCCTGGGAGACGGCACCTCCCCCTCCAGCCTCACAGCCACCCCTGGAAGTCTGCTCTGCAGGAGGGAGGCCAGATCGCTCTAACACGCGGCCTCCTCCCCAAGGAGGAGGCTAGAGCCAGGCTAGCTCTCCTCCCTCTGAAGTCAGAATGGCCGGTGGCCATCTATCAACCGACTGCAGCTCCGCGAGCCGTGAGATTAAAACGATGATGGAATAATGACAACAGATCTGGAAAGAAGAGACAGCGGGGCCTGGGGTTCTCTTCGCTCCTGCGCCCCACCCCTGGGGGCCCGGGTCACCGTCTGTCAACATGCCACTTGTCCTGCACCAGGGAGAAGCCGTGTCAAAGGAGAAACGCGGGTCCGAGGGCAGGGAGGATGAGAAGGGGTCTGGCTCCCGGCCGTGGTGTTTTCAAAAGGCCTCGGCTGCTTTGACAAAAGCCCAAGGCAGGGAGAGGAAGCTGAACACGGTCACCGGGTCGCCAGTGACAGGCCTGGGCCGGCTGCTACCGACATGAAAAGATGCTGCTGGCCCTGTCCGTGCCGAGGTGGCCGAAAGGCACAGACGCAGCCGCTGAGAGACAGGAGGGGCGGTGCCCTGCCAGACCCGGGGGCCAGGCCCCCCACAAGGGAGAGGCCGGGGCACGGACGTTTCATTCTAAACTAAGCCTTTTTCGCTTTTCCCACCTGAATCATTTTCTCATACAACGAGATCAGGGGAGACATTTTTGCAAGCCTTACTTGTTCGTGGGGGTAAAGGTCGCCTTCCCCTTGGCCTGGGACAACCCCCCCATACAGGCCCATCCCAGGGAGCTGGGGAGGAGCAGAGGGCCCCCGTCAGTGTCTGGGAGGAGAGGGTGCGTGAGGGGGTGTGGGGCGTCAGCCGGGGCAGGAGTTCAAGGTCTCTGCTGTCTGAAACGAGGTCCCCTCCCTCAGGTACCCACTGCTGCCTCTGCTCTGGCCACCCGACCGCTGCCTCAGGCCCCCGCTGCCCACACCACCCCCTTCAAGGTCCAGAATGCCCTGGAGGAAGGAGTCCAGCTGTGCCAGCAGTGGCCACCAAGCCCAGGCCTCCATAGCACAAAGCAGGCTCCCGCTGGCCTCCTGGGCCAGGCTCCTGTCTGATGGGGCTCAGGCGGGAGCTGAGCCAGTGAGAGCTAAGCCGCTGGGGATGACCCTGCTGGCCCGCTGTCATCTTTTCCGCCCCCCAGCACCCCAATATCTTGACATGGCCCCGGTGTCCATCCTGAGAATGAGGCCTGCTGCCTCATGGTTGGGGGCTGCCTAAAAGCAGGTCCACTCTGGCAGCCTTTCTCCCCCCCGGTCTAACTCCTACTAGATGGCCGACCACAGCCCAACAGAGAGGGCATTTCGGGGCGCCTGGTCTCCCCCGCCGAGGACACAGGATCTGGCTGACCAGCCCAGGGCCGGCCACCACTTCTGTCCAGAACGTTCCTCTGTGAAAGCTGACGTGACCCTCACAGCCTCTGACTAGCCAGAACCACCTCCTTGGCCTCAGCATGAATGAGTGCATCTTGTGGCATTTAAGGCAGGTTTAAAGTCAAAAAAAAAGCCCCCGACATTTCTTTGGTTAAGTGGTTTACCCTTCGTGGTAATTAGATGTAGTGATTGGGATCTCTTTTCTATTACATGGCAATTTTCCTTTAAATTTCCCCTTAAAAAAAAAAGGCAAGAGGAGGCAGGGAGGGAGGAGGGCATTTGCATTTTGCCAACGAGGCCTCTTGTAAGCCCAGCTCAGGCGTGGGGCCGCGTATGGGATGCTTAAGAGATTGCTAAGAATAAAATCTATTAATTAGTCATACTCAATTCCGCAGACATGATGTGCATCAAAAGCTTCTTTTCTTCCCTTTCTCCTTCCCTCTTCCCGGCCTCACTCAGAAGCCTCCATCTTCCTGCTCCCCGGCCTCTGGGTTAACATGGCAGCGGCTGGCCCGCTGGACAGGACAGCCCCACCAGGGCCTGCGGGCCTGACTCCTTCCTGTCCAGGCGATGCTGGCAGGGGAGGAGACTGCAACTGCAATGATGCCGTGGCTGGGGGACCCACCCAACAAGGGGAAACTGAGGCCGGGCAGAGCGTGAGAGGGGCTTCAGGGAGGGTTTCCAGAGCGGAAGAGAGAGTGAGAGTGGCCAAAGCAGGGCTAGCTGCCCCAGGAAACCTGGGTGTTCCAAGGGTCAGGTGGGAGGCCCTCTGCTAATTCTGGAGGTGCCAGCTGGTCCCGGCCAGGGAAGGAGGCCCAGAGGAGGAGGGGCCGGCCGGTGAGGGTCCCTGTGGGGTCCTAGAGGGCTGACTGGGCCTGAGGAGGCGTCGGGGGCCATGTTCAGGACTGCAGCTGAGCCTCCTCCTGCACCCCTAAGCAGAGGATGGAGGGGAGGACACCACCCTCCCCCCACAATGGCAGCTCAAGTCCCAGAGCCAACCCACTTCAGAAATCTGCTCCCTCTGAATGCGCCAGGGAGGAGGATGGGGCTTCTGAGCTTTGTGCTTATGAAAAATACAACAAGGAAAATTGAATGCGGCAGGCAGGGAGCAATGGAGCCGGAAAGCGAGGGGACAGAGCTGGGCGGCCGCTGGGAGGGGCCTGGGCCCTAGTGGACCGCCCCCCCAGTGGACTGGGCCCCAAGGCCAGACCTCGTCCCCAGCCCCAGGGTACAGCCTGGTCAGCTGCGGCGCCCCAGGCACCCAGGTCTGCTCCCCAAACTCAACTCTGCACGGAGCGGGCTGGGCGGCTGGGTGAGCGCTAACAAGCCGCACGGCCCGCACGGCCCCCAGAGCAGGCAATCTTTTCTCTTAAGGAGGGATAAAAAGGCTCAAAAATGCAAATCATTAGCGTTTACAACCAAGCGAGTCTGCTAAATTGATTAGGAGAGATTAAACTCCTTGGAGGTGATGGAAAGGGGGATTTTCCGCATTTTATGAACCTGCCCCCGTAGCTGCGTGCAAAGAGGGATTTTCCGGACTGGCTGAGGGGCTACCTCCGAGCAGCTGCAGTTGGGGGGGCTCCGGGGGCTCATGTTGGGTCTGAGCAGGGCTTTGGGGAGACTGGTTCTCCTCCTGCCGTGCCCTGTGCTCAGGTCTGGGGGGCCGGGGCCAGTACTTCAGCCCACAGAGTCATTCAGACACCAGACTCCACCCCTGACCTCGGCCTTCAGGGGTGAAAGGCATGGGGAAGTGGCTCACCCAGTGGTTTAGAGGGGGCCTCTGAGCTTTTCTGGTTCCTTTGTCTTTTAGAGGCTGAGAGGGGGCAGGGATTTGCTTCTGACCCACTCCCTGCAGTCAGTGAGAGGGGCATGGTGCCAACTGTAAAGGGGAAACTAAGGTGAGGAAGAGAAACTCTGGTCCGACAAAGGAAGCAGGCAGTGAGCTCCCCGTCCCAGGGAGCATCCAAGTCCAACTCCCCTGCCCTGGGGCTGTGGCAGTTTCCTGCCTACACCAAGACCTGATCCCGGCTCCCTCCTTTATTTGCTCATCCCCTGAGGATCCTGTGAGGAAGCGGTCAAGAAGGGTTGCTCAAAGTGACCCCGTCCCCTGCAATCCCTGGTCAGGGCCATGCCCTCGTCAGGCTGTCCAGGCCCAGCAAGAGCCACCAGCGATGAGGCCAGACCCCCACATCCTTGTCCAAGGGGTAGGGGGAGAGGAAGTGCAGACACCTCCCACCCCAGCCGGAGGGGAAACAGGGTCAGGGACGCCAAGCCCTGCTGCCCCAGGACGCGGCCACCCAGGCCCCGGCTGCCCAGGCTGCCCCCAGCCTGTAGGGCTGTTTCTCCGTCCCAGCTGCTGCCTCAGTCCTTCCTCCCAGCCAGGTTGGGGCTGCTGGGGGCGGGGGGTGCGGCTCTTCACCCTGCTTTTTCAAGCATTTTCCATTTCTTTGAAATGTTCCAAGTAGTTGCCTGAAATAT